CCGACATAATTTACGTCCCCGAAACGGGATTACTGCTCCGCTCATCAATAGTTAAAGCGAAGCACTGTATTTCTTGCTGGTAGATGAACTTATGTGTGACAGCACGAAATCTGTTTTGCCAATTATTTGCGATACAGTATTCAAGTCCAGAAAATGGGCGTCCTTTGAATTCGCCGCCAACCAATCAGCGTTACTCAAATGGTCGTTCTCAAAGTGACCGTCATGCCCTGATGGGCGCCAGGGAAATATGATTGAAATTCTCACGTAAAATTTAATTTTGCTTTACCTGGGATGAGATGGTTCTTGCATAATTTTTTGAATTCTAATCTTTTCAAAATATCCCTTTCAAGGACTTCTTAACATTCAAGTCTGGCCCTAAGATGATAACATATGATTGGTGCTTGGATCCTTATCTATGTGTCAGAATGTCTGCTCACAAATTTTTCTCTTTCTTTGTCCCTTTTTTTTCTGCACATCCCCAGATGCGCTCATCAAATTACCAGTCAACGTCTTCCTCCCTTTTGCAGCGGCGTCCGTTGCCACCAAATAAATTTCGCACAAAGTGACCGTCATGCCCAGATGGGCGCCAGGGAAATATGATTGAAATTCTCACGTAAAATTTAATTTTGCTTTACCTGGGATGAGATGGTTCTTCATAATTTTTTGAATTCTAATCTTTTCAAAATATCCCTTTCAAGGACTTCTTAACATTCAAGTCTGGCCCTAAGATGATAACATATGATTGGTGCTTGGATCCTTATCTATGTGTCAGAATGTCTGCATGTTGCATGATGGACTTCAATGGAACATGTTTGTAAACGATACAAAGACAAAATTGATAATTTTAAGCCAATTCAGATCAAAGATGAAAAATAATTGTGAATAAAACTCAGTACTCCACTGGGGAACTTGGCAGGGAAATTCTCGGTAGAATCTCCAAACGAGAAAAGAAATTGTAAAATATATTTCAAAGATAAACAACAATCAAAGAAAATGAATTGGACGGAAACAGACTTCAAGATTTCACACTCAGAAAACAATTCTCTAAAGCAACTGAATGCTTCGGAGACTCAATGAACAGTGTATAAGTAAAATAAATAATTTGTATTCTTTTCCAGTATTGCGCAATGGGAAATACCACGGATTTCCCACTGCTGCTGCGCAGCATTCCTCAAATTCCTGATTTCTTGTGTTCTTAATTTTCCGCATTCTTTTGTTTGTTAATTCTACCTGTGTCCTACAATGTTCATGTGGTTCGCCTGGCCTATTCCTTAAAAGTTGAAAAAAACCACTCAAAAATTGAACAAAATGTTTTTCCCAATTTCATGAGACAGGAGATAACTGTGCTGAAGAAAACCACACGATATCTGAACTTTTGGCATAAAAGGGAGCTCAAAAACAAAGCAAAATACAATGAAAATTTTTTGTGCTGCTGTGTAGTGTGCAAATTGGACGGAAATAACTCCAGAAAAAGAAGCACACAATTAGCATATTCTGGATCATTACTGGTACATTAATTAGGGTGGATTTATAATGAAATCAATTTTGATCTTTGTGAAAATAAATATCTCAAAATCTCCAAGAGACTATCAAAATGTTAAGCAGTTCATTGCTCTGGAAAATTGTAGCGAAAAGTGTCCGTATCTCGAGACATTTTCCGGATGTCGGAGCAAACTTTTTGATTTGCAAGTGTCCTCATGTAAGTCAAATCGAATGTATCTCGGGGCGACCGTAAGTCGGGGCTTCAGTGTACTTCCAAAGAACAAATTTGTGATTAGGCCCAAAATTTTGATTGAAGAAAGAAGAAATGCCCTTTTCATAAGAAAATTGAAAAATATGTTCATCAAGTCGGCAGGGCTAAAATTTATCTCAAATTGTCTTGAAATAATTTTTCCAAGGATGGGATATTTTGAATTTCTTGGAAGTTCTTCCCTGGAAACAGAAGAAAGCGAGAATTTCTAACCTACCATATAGCTCCGATAACGTGTCGCTTCAATGCTAAGCATTCTTCCTGCTGAATTTTGAGCTCATTAAAAAAAAATTCAGCGTTCAATATTTCTAAATTTCTTCCCAATCAAGGTTGGCATTCACATCAAGGAAGCCAGCAAGGAGGATGTCGGAGAATATGAATGCTTGTTGACAAACCCATACGGCAAACGCCTTGTGAGAATTCGGGTGAACTTGAAAGAAGACGAACCCGCAATTTTCTCACGGAAGCTGAGTGACGTAGAAACGGTAAATTGAATTAATATTCAATTCAGTCTTTCATGCGATTTTTAATTCATGCGATTTTTTAGGTATCTCCATCTTCAAAGCTTTAAATGTTTTTGACATTAATTTACAAACAATAACGCAGTCCCGAATTAGTCCAGCGCAGCAGCAAATTCGAATTTCGTACGAAAATGATCGAACCCTGGGAAAATGCCTCTCACCGAAATCTCTTTATATGCTTTTGTCTAGCAAATCATGAGTTTTCAAAATTTCGTAAACCCAAATCGCTTTTCCGATCCTTCCGCGTTTTCGTGCGACATCAAAGGTCATTTCAAAAACTTGGTCATCTCTCAGGTGGAAGGACGCGAAGCCCAATTTTCCGCTACTGTTGACGGCTGCCCTGAACCCGACGTTCAATGGCACTTTGAAGACAATCTATTGGAAAAATCACTCAAGTACGTGATGAAACGGGACGNTGGTCATCTCTCAGGTGGAAGGACGCGAAGCCCAATTTTCCGCTACTGTTGACGGCTGCCCTGAACCCGACGTTCAATGGCACTTTGAAGACAATCTATTGGAAAAATCACTCAAGTACGTGATGAAACGGGACGGAAAGACCGCGTATTTGTTTGTCAGGGAATGCCAGTTGAACGACATTGGCAAATACTCGTGCATCGCCAAAAATTCCGCGGGAAAAGACTATTCCTCAGCCCAGCTCCGGGTCAAACCCAATTCGTGAGTCTCATTTTCAATCAATGTACTGTACTGCTGCAGTTAGTTCCAGGTTTAAAAAAGAATTNGTGCATCGCCAAAAATTCCGCGGGAAAAGACTATTCCTCAGCCCAGCTCCGGGTCAAACCCAATTCGTGAGTCTCATTTTCAATCAATGTACTGTACTGCTGCAGTTAGTTCCAGGTTTAAAAAAGAATTATACAAATATGTGTCTAAAAACTTGGCATGATGGCTGACTTCTTTGAATAAGTCACTCATAAAGTTAAGAAGGGTGGGTGTAAGTCTGGTGATATGAACCTATTCAACCCCAAGTTTTCCTCGTCGGCATTTTATTCAGATGGGCTCGCTGGTCATAAAAGCGCTATTGAAAACATAAAAGTTGAAATAATTGTGAAAGCAATACAATAATATTCGAATCAATATTCCAAACTGTTCCCAATAGATTGTCCAGCTTTAAATGCGACCCACTGTTTTCTGATCAACCCTCTAAAAAAATGTATACGCATATGTATTTTTAAAATTATCTTTCGAGTCTGATGTATATCAATACTGAGTCAATATCACTGCTGAACAGGGCTAAAAAATTGCAGAAATTTGCTTCAAGGCTCAAAAAAGGACCGCAAATGTCGAAAAGTTCCCCGAATCGTTAAATCTTATCATGTTAAAACTCAAGCTCAAGTATTTCCAATTTCCAAATCGCATTCTGTTCTTATAATCAGAATAAAATATTATTTTCGGGTTCTCACCCTCGTTCAAAACGAATCTCCCAGACTTGGTGATTTTCTTTCTCTCAACAAAGACAATTCTATAATTTCTTATACAGTACATTTGATGGGATCTAAGT